GGCCTTGAGCACTGCCAGGGTGGCACAGGTAAACCCAAAACTCGTGGCCCAAACAGAATGGCATCCTCAGGCTCTCACACTGAACCACTGACCCGACTGATCAATAGTCCCTGGAGAGGACCTGGGTCTCCTGAGCACCACTTGGAACCTCCCCCAACCCAATCCCCCCAAAAAACAGAACAAAACAAAACAAAACAAAAAACCCAGAAACAAAAAACGAAAAAACCTCAGATGGAGCTCTCACCAGATGGTCTCAGTTTTCTCTGTAGGGTATAAGCTTAGGAAAGAGGGAAAAAAAGAGCTTAAGAAAAAAAAAGGTTAAGTGTTTCCTCCAAGAGCAGGTATACAAGAAACAAATAGAATACAATGAATTATTTAGAGTCAAGTAAAACAGGAACTGATTTCACAGCAATTCTGATTAGACTGAAGTTAAACCATTTACCTGCTGTAGCAACTCACAAGAATACAGGATCGAGTAAAGGAAAATGAGAAATTATTAAGGGGCAATCAAGACAAGGAAATTCAGTTCATTACTCTTTCAAACACCAATTAAAGTTAGTTATGACAGAGGCCCTGTATTGGGGCTTGGATACTCAGAGATGAATAGAACACGATCCTGACCCTAGAAAACTCATGCAGGAAGATGAAAAACAAAAAAGTTGAACTGTGAGTCCTTTTGGTATTTGGCAACTTAAATTTTCTAAGGCAATTAAAAAAAACTGTTTTATTCTCAGGACCAGGGTTGTCTTACATGCATGGAACCCTGGGATCAATCCCTGGCATCATTAAAATAAAATGGTTTTATTTTCTAGCATCATATATTTATGATGTTTGTGTTAAATATAAACTATGAGCTATAGCAGCAAACACACACCTGTACACTTACCACTCAACTCATGTGCCAGAACTTACACTTTTAGAGTCATCAGACTTCCCTCTCAAAGCTTTGCAACTTCACCTAAGCCAATCTGATTTCCAACTCTCCAAGGCAGACACCTGACAGGAGTTCTACAAACTAAAGTTCCCATTAAAACAACTTCTCTTTCTTGTCTAAAAGAAGGAAGAAGCTGGGCTGGAGTGATAGCACAGCAAGTAGGTCATTTGCCTTGCAGGAGGCTGACCTGGGTTCGATTCCCAGCATCCCATATGGTCCCCCGAGCACCACCAGGAGTAATTCCTGACTGCATGAGCCTGGAGTAACTCCTGTGCATTGCCTGGTGTGACCCAAAAAGAAAAAAAACTGCAGCAATATTTTACTTGCTATTAAGTGCATCTTTTATAAACATTGCTTCCTTTTATTTTTAATACTTTATAAAATGGAAGTTTACATGAATAGGTAGATGGCTGTAGGCACTAAAATGTACTTCCAAATGTTGTCAAGTAAATATATGTCTCTGAAAAGGAATTATATCTTCTAATTCTGGTATGGAAATCATCCTCTTTTAATGAGAAAAACATATATAACAAACCACCCTGCACGCCCCCCCTCCAAAAATCCACCATCATAACCCTACATAAATGGTTCACAGCACATTTAATGGTATATTAAATATGTTTGCACTGTGGTATATCCATGAACACCACCCCTCCAAAATTCTCAGTACTGCAAAAGTGAAACAAAAACCATTAGACTTTGCCTCTTTGAACCTGACTACTCCAAACGCCTTACTCAAGTAGTATAAACAGTACGTGTCCTCATGTGACTACACATCACTTAACCTTCTGCAAGGATTATGTGTCATGAGTCAAAATTTCATTCTTTTTAAAAGCAGAAATGTGGTAAAAGTCGCATCACTTAAAATGTAACATCTAAGCTATATTAAATATATAGTGTCTGAGTGTTACCTAGAGGCACACTGGTATATAACAGAGCTTTAGAATTTTTTCAGCTTGCAGGAGCAAAACTCGGAAGCCACAGAACATCTTCTATTTCCCTCTTTTCCCAGGAACTATCCATTCTACCCTGAACTGAATCTGACCACTTTCAATACTTCATTTAAGTGCAATCACACAATGTTTGCTTTTTCCTTTTTGGCTTATTTCACCTAGCATGATGTCCTTAAGGTCCATCTACTTTCAGCATTTCTTACAGCTGATGAACTTACACAGACGCTTCATGAACACCCAGAGTGATCATGATATTTTAATTCTACTTTGTATTTCAAAATAAGGTTTAAACTTATCATTTAAAAAGTTAACCATTTAAAATGTTTACATTCGAGTTTGCCTCTTATCAACCCACACCACAGCTGATGAAGTGATCTCATAATCATGGTATTATATACACTATTTCTACTACCTACTAAGTCTTCTGTGGCCAGTCTACTTTTAATTTTCTAAGAAGCCTTCGCATTGCTTACCAAAAAAAAAAAAAAAAAGACATTCTGACCAACCGTGCATAAGCATTCCAATTTCTCCATATTCTTAACAATTATTATTTTCAGTATCATGTATCTGCATGTGTCTTTGCAGTTTTAACAGAAGGCATCCCAATGGGTGCCAAGTGGTGATAATCTCATATTTTTATTTATGTTTGCCTTACTCGATGTCGAGCATCTTTCCATGGCCTTATTAAATTATCTGCTCTTTCCAAATTAATTTACACCTGAAATGATGAAAAGCCTCAAGGAGAAAAAAGATAATGCAATGAGTAAGAAAGAATTGTCTCAATGGCAAGAAGAATATTAGAATTAAATCTTACTAATGTCCAACCAAAGAACAATACATATTCTTTTGAGAAATTGGGAAATTTCAATTTAGTGCTTCTATAAACTGAGTAGGCCTCTTCATCAACCCCTCCCCCTTTTATAATTTATAGTTCTTCTATTTGCTTTTCATATTTATCTTCTATATCTTCTTTCTACTGCTGTGCTGTCATTATTATTACTTTTTCTTTGTGATGCCTAATCTATTAACTTTGGCTCAAAAGCTTAAGGGTATCTTTGCAGACAGAAACAAACTCATCAAAAGGGTATTTTAACTAGATATAAATCAGTCACACTAAGTGTCATACTCAATTCTACAAAGACTACAATTCTAGAAAAAAAGCAGAGCACACCAACTAGGAAGTATGAGGCATTTCTCCGCAGTAAATCATCACAGCAGGCAACATGATCAGCAAGGAACTAACTGGCTCACTTCTGGCTCTCCAGATGAGATGTCAGGTTCAATAGACCAAGATTCACATCCAATTGGTTCACAAAAAAACATGTTAGAAAATAATTCCATTCTATAGCATAGCTTTGAATGCCAAAGCAATCTTATAGATACCTATTTTGTTAATGTAAAAACATTAATCCTATGATCACATATGAGGAAACTGAGGAATGGAGAGATGAAGAAAAGTACCTTGAGTCTTGCAGCCAATATCTGAACCCAGATCACCTGGCTCCAAAGCTGATGCTTCAGGGTTTGCATTTTTTGGAGGGTAGGGTTTTTGGACCACACACCTAGTAGTGCTCTGGTGTGTCTGGCTCTGTGCTCAGGAGGGACTCCTGACAGTGTTTGGGGGACTATATGTAAATGCCAGGGATGGAACCAGGGCTGGCTACATGCAAGACAAGCACTCTACCCTTTGTATGATCTTTCTGACCCCAAGAACACTCTACACAATACCATCCAAATACACTGTCTCTGCTCAAATTATTTTGGACTCTAGAAACACCTTTTAGGACTAACATGCCCTTTCTTAGGAAACTTATTGATGACAAGACTGATCTAATTCCAATATCAGACTCAGAAAATCCAATGAGTGATCTAGTGGGTAATTGGCTCATTCTTTCACACTCACCAAGTGGTCAATATTTTTCTCTCATCATCTCAGTCCTCATGATGATATGAATGGCTTATTCTTTCTAAATCTACATTTTATTCTGATGAGAATATCTAAACTCAAAGAACTCGCAGCTTCTGTCCCTCATCACGTAACTAGCCAGTGACAAATCAGAATCTACAGGCATGAATCACTGGGACAAGAGCAGTACCTGCCTTTCAGTTCTCAGCAGGGAGCTCCTTCATGCAAGAGACTCTGAAGCCACAATGGTATGTGAAGAGCTATGTTCCACCCAGAGAGAGAAGTTATACCAGGAGAATGGACGCCTGAGTCAGTCCTTGTCCCGTGGTGCTAAAACTAGCCTATGATCTTGGGCAAGCCTAATGCAGCTATGAGAATTCCTACAGACAAGGTAAAAACATTAAGATCAAAAGCACAAGCTTGAGGGGTTAGCTATATTTGGCCCTCCGGAAAAACAGGTCAAAAAATAAATGAATAAATAAAATAAATAAATGTAAGGAAATAAAAAGACAAAAATTCTCCAGGAACATAGGTAAGTCACATGGAGCTGAGGAGAGCACCCAGAAATTATAAAGCCAGGAAAAGAGTCTGGATTTAGTAAATTGTTTCTTCCCTCCCAGCTAATCTTTCTAAATTTCACTTCAAAATTTCTCAAAAGGTTTATGCTCAGAAAAATAATTACAACATCAAATTAAATTAAAAAGCCAACCACAAAATTACATATGCGCCAGTAACTCATAAAATCATGAAATTTTGGTTTTAGTTCCCCTTATTTTCTGATATTTTCAAATTTCCCATACTAAACCCATCACATTGTTATCCAGTGGAAACATGAAGCAGAATAATTGAAATACTTGTGCTTAATACTGCAGAGGAGAAAAAGACCCCCAAATTTGACTTTAAATCATCTAAAAATTTCTAAATACTTAATAGTTATATCAAAATCAATAGGCACCTGTGTAACAAATACCAACTTTGAGGGTTCAAAGGCCAAACTCAGAATTTCCCTGGGTGGGGCCAAGGAACCTAGAGTTTCACCAAGCTCAATATGTGACTGTATTTTTTAACAAGGAAAAATTTTTCAAACAATTCTATTCTTCTTTTTGAATGTTCTCTTCTGATTTATTTAACACAAGGACGAATCTATACTAGAATGTGTGTACTTCAAAGTGGCGAGGGTACAGACTCAGAGGGCTTAATATCTCACCATTCATCTCTGCAAACTTCTGAACATCGCTCAGGGTTTTTAATTCTTGCCTTGGACATGCTGACACGCACAATGCTACAGACTTGATCTTCCGGTTTATCAAGTCCAGATTGCATGGATCCAAAAAGAATACATACCTAGAACAGGGAGGAAAAATATTAAGATATTATTTCGCTAAACACATTCTGCTTCACTGGTATTTTGACGAATAAGCCCCAAAGCAAAGGCGTCAATTGCAAACCCTTTCAACAAAATGAATCATAGATGAACAATTATTTCACAAATAGAATTACAGATAAGTTTTTATTTATTTATTTATTTTTACTTTTTGGATCACACCCGGTGATGCATAGGGGTTACCCCTGGCTCTGTACACAGGAACTACTCCTGGGGACCATATGGGATGCTGGGAATAGAAGCATGGTTGGCCGTGTGCAAGGCAAACGCCCTACCCCCTGTGTTACTGCTTGAGCCCCACAGATAAGTTTTTAAAGTAATTGCATTCAGAGCTAGAGAGAGAATCTAATGGGCTAAAGAGTACGTTTTACATACAGGTGGCCCAGGTCCAATCCCTAGCATCCCATGGTCTCCCACCAGGAGCCACAGATGATCTTGAAGTACAGATGCACAGAAGCACTACTAGGAGGGACCCCAAAATAAAAACTTTAAATATTAAAAAAATTCCTTATATGTATATTCTAACAGCACTTTGGGGGTGACTACAGTATATTTTTGTGATATACTTTTATAACATTTAAATTTTTGTACCATGTATCTTATATTCAGAAAAGGGTATTTTAGTCTTTAACAACAATTTTAGTCTTTTTGAGTCAAATCTGCATCAAAAAGTTACTGTGCCAAAAAGTTTCTGTAAAATTTCAAAATTAATATATCACATGAATTCTAGCTTATAACACATTTTAGTGGGTATATCATTACATATTAAATTATAAATGGTAATATATAGACTTTGGTTAATTTATAATTATCAAAATAAATTGTAAGACGGTCAAGTAGAATTTATAAGGTTTAACAGAGATGAAAGAGAACTATACAAGGGATTACTAAGTCAATGATGGTTGGTGGGATCGCTCGGGATGGGAGATGTATGCTGAAAGTAAAGGACCAAACATGATAGTCTCTCAGTATCTGTGTTGCAAATCATAATATCCAAAAGTATAGAGAGAATAAGAAGGAAATTGCCTGCCATAGAGGGAGGGGGTGGGGTCGGTGAGGGTTGCAGGAGGGATACTGGGAACATTGGTGGTGAAAAAAGTACACTGGTAGAGGGCTGGGTATTCAATCATTTTATGACTGAAATGCAATCATGAAAGCTCTGTAGCTGTATCTCATGGTGACTCAATTAAAAACAAAAAAAGAAAGAGACCTAGACCAACACTAATTACAGTCATCTTGATATTAAACTGGTTTTTCATTTTCTTCATTTTACTTTTAGAATCATTTTCTAGTAACAATGCAATTTATTTTTGTGTTGCGATAACTACAGTATTTAACAGTTTGGTTTTGTGACATATAAACAGAATAATCACTAATTATGTTTTGTAGCCTATGCACATTTTTACTTCAGAGAAGGAAAAAACTCATTAGATATTAAAATAAAAAAGATTTAAGAACTATCACCTAAATATTTAAAGTACATCAGCTTAGTGTTAAAGTCTACCGGGTCACATAAAGTCACCCCGTTGACAACAGCATTTCCCACACTGCTAAATTCCTCTGCAATGCAAACTATGGGTCAAATAAGGAAACACAACCAAACAGAAGAATTAGGTGTGAAATTGAAAAGAAAACTATTAGGTTAACACACATGCTGGAAGGGACAATCTTAAAGGCACCAGAAAGAAAATTAAATAGAAAAAAAAAAATAAGAGGGGCAGACAGAGTGTCTGCACATTTCAGGAACTTAGCATCAAGGTCATGTATTAACTACAAACTACCAGACTGATAAAAAAAGAAAAACGAACTTTTTGTAACCCTGTTAACTCGCTCCAATCCCATTAATGCTCTTCATCAATAAAATGAAAGAAGCGAGACCACACGATGGTATTTGCAGTGGGATTCCCAAGAGTGCTATATAGCTCCAGAGGAAGCCAGAAAGCACAGAACCCCACCTGGGACCCTCTGTGTGGGAACACCCCTTCCGGTTATCTTAGTAATAAGCAAGCACATTCCCGGGACCCTAAGCCATCAACTGCACCAGGCAGCTCCTGGTTCCCCAGTGCACAGGCGTCATCAAGCTTTGAGTCCCTTATCACCACCGTCACCGCAGTATTACCCAACACTGGTTCAGTACATACTGAGTAACTGATACAGTGCCAAAGTTTAAAATGAAAAAGTTAGGGCACCACAGCTTACAATGTTAATGATAAGGTTTCCTGCGTAACATCTTCCCACCATACCCTCCAGGTCACACAATGAAAACTCATTTCACTTCACAGCAACCCTGCCAGGTATTTGTGGGGGCAGTGGGGTGGTGGCAGGTGAGCAGTGGAATTAAGAGCAGAGTTCTAAGTGATAAGCAATGCCCTGATAAACTATCTGGAGAAATCTTAAGATAACAGAAAAACAGACTTGGGAGGAAAGAGAAAAAGAGAGGCTCTTGGTCCTTCAAAGCAGTGCCCAGGGGCCTAGACTACATCAATGCTGCCCGTTATGCTTATTTAGGGGTGGGGAGTGGGTTATTCCCATACCTGCATGCTCCAGGAAGTCCTCCTGGTGATACAGGAACAGTCAGGCCAGATGAGTTACCCCCAGACCCAAAAGCGCGGCATAAGCCCAGTGGTGCTCAGGGTTCACCAAGGCTACATTCAGTGCTGATGAGGTGGGGCATGCAGGGGTCAAATCGGGATCTTTGCACATCATGCAAAGATGTGTTGATAGCTTGCTTTTCACTGAGCTATCAACTCTGACTCTGACAGTGCTTTGTTATAACCTCCTATGAACAGAAGTCTTGCCTATGGTCCACAGACTTCTGCCTCTCCCCCCCCCCGCCCCAAACCCACTCCCAAATCTCAAAATTCCCTCCCTCTCTGTATTCCCAACTTCCTTTGCAACCTTAAGGCACACCCTCCCAACTTCTAGGGAATAAGCAGGAGTCTTATCCAATCACACTTGTATCAGACTAGTAAGTAAGTAAGTAAAGGCCCTCCCGTTGACCATCGATTTGCTCGAGCGGGCCCAGTAACGTCTCCATTGGAGACTTTGTTGTTACTGTGTTTGGCATATCAAATACTTCACGGGGAGCTTGCCAGGCTCTGCTGTGCGGGTGAGATACTCTCGGTAGCTTGCCGGGCTATCAGACTAATGTGAGCATTTTCTGGCTTTCCTAGAGGTACTTGGAGAAAATCTTTATGGTTTGCGTCCCTGCCTCTTCACTTGTAATACTGTAAAATGCTGATGTTACACTTTACTCTAATGAAACTGGTAATATACGTAAGTACATAATAGGCAGTACAGACTCATCATGAAGAACACTATTTACCTTTTAGAAATTCCACATTTGAAGGCCTGAAACTCAGTGGAAGAGCTCTTGCCTTGCATGTGTGAGGCCCTGAGTTCTATTCTTGCGTGGCTGCCATTACAACACAGTAACAGCAAAATTTCATACTTTCTAATAAGACACTAAATACTCTATGATATGGACATAGAATGGGACTACAAGGTGAATACTTAACTTTTCTTCGTAAGAAAAACCTACATAGGAATGATCTTGATAGTGCATTACCCTTGATAAAGCAAACCTCCTAGGGCAGGGCATATAAGAACCAGAAAATAAGATGAATCCTAAAATGACTCACTAAAATTAACCCACATGTTTAGTCTATGTATATAGACTTAAGGGCTGGAGCGATAGCACAGCGGGTAGGGCACTTGCCTTGCACGCAGCCAAACTGGGCTGACCTGGGTTTGATTCCTCCGCCCCTCACGTAAAGCCCAGCAAGCTACCGAGAGTATCACGCCCGCATGGCAAAGCCTGGCAAGCTACCCGTGACGTATTCGATATGCCAAAAACAGTAACAAGTCTTGTTACTAGTGCCTGCTCAAGCAAAATCGATGAACAGTGGGAAGACAGTTCTACAGTGCATTGCTATATAGACTTAAATGAGAAAAGAGAACAAAACCATTTAGAATAAAGAATTCACTCAAATAAAAAGTAATCTTAAATGTTATTCTCAGGATCTATACTTATTCATATATAATCATATACAGAAGTATACCTAGCACTAGCTATAAGAACATAGTAGCCATAATGTCTTACATAATCACACAATCAAATAAACATTACATTTTGTGTGCATACAAATTTTAAAAGAAACCTTTAAGTCTTAAATTTAGATGCTATTCATCCTTCCTACAGACTCGGGTGCTGAGAATGTTCACATCCCTATCTTCAATCTCACAACTACAAACTAACTACACAATCCCATCACGACAAACTCTAGGCCTGAAAGGACCAAGCAAAGCCCCGAGAGAATTAGTGTGTGCCAGAGCTTGCATTAAATCTGTCCTGATTCTTAGTTTCAGTTTCCAAACTGCTCTTCTTGAAAACATTCCCTACAAATATATAATTCTGTTTGGATTTAATTTTTTTTTTCTTTCGGTGGTCCTCAGGGACTATTTCTGGCTCTAAGCTTAGGGGATCAATCCTGGTGATGCCCAGGGGATCAGTGCCAGGGATCCAATCCAGGCCTTCTGCATGCAAAGCTCCAGTCCACTGAGCGCTCTCTTCAACCCTAAAATTAATCTTTCTTTTGTAGGGGAGGAAGAAAGTTGTGCTATATATATATATATCCAGCAGGACTTCAGGCTTACTCCTGGCTCTGTGCTCAGGGATCATTCCTAGCAGTGCTTGGAGGGTTGAATACAGTGCTGGGAATTGAACTTGGGTCAGCCACATTCAAGGCAAGTACTCTACCTTATGTACTATCTCTCCAACCCGAATTAATAATTTTTCAACTGTTTCATATTTGATATTCTGTTTGTTATCATTCCCAAAGTTCAGTCACTTCATGGCAACATTTTGATAACTATATTTTAATTGGTCTTTAACTGAATATTTACAGAGTACGAAAACCTCTTGTATCAAGCAGACAAATTTATGATTCATTAAATTGCA